AGTTAGATTGATGTTTATTATGTAAATAAAATTTTGATAGCCTCTTGTGTCAAAACTTTTTGAACCGCCCACGTATAACAAAGATTTTTATTATAAAATAAATAATCATTGCTATATGCAAAATAATTTATTATCCATCAAATAATTTTAGACTTCTGTTATAAATAGTAATTTTGTTATAAGGAATTTCTGCTGGTGCGTAGAATTTGTAGCTAAGTTTGACTGTATATAATTTTATCTTGTATATAAACAGTAATCGAAGCCTAGAGATTTGACGCGATTTCAGATATTCGATCAAACATAAACATAATCATTTATAATAATCGTAATCTCTCGCCGAATAATATTAATTTAACAAATACTTTTCTTTATATATTATACTCACGTTATTAACTATAACCCCTTGCTAATAACAGCAACCTATAGCAAGTGAATCTACAGCGCATATAACAATAATTTTTGTGAATATAGCATTTCTATCGTCTATTAGAAAGCGGACGTCGAATAACGTAAGCCTTGAGTGAGAATTACGATTAACGGTATCAAACGTCCTAAGACTTATGAAACTTAAACTAATCGAAATCTTACATGAGAATAAAAGCAAATTCAGCATTTAATTACCGACATGCTAACAAAAGAAAATTATATGAGTTTATGGTTGCTTTATTTTACAAAAAAAAATAAGCAAATGTTGTTTTTTGTTTACTTTTAGTAGACATGAATTCAGCGAATCTGACTTTATTTAAGTCACAATAAAAAACTTTCGGGAACTGGAGCAATTGTTTCATTAAGCAAATTTTGAAAAAAGGCATGGGAGATTACATATACTCTGTTTACATACCAAAGAATAATCGGGTGCTTTTTCTTCCATTCTCTACATTTCCTCTTCATCATTCTTCTGACGTTTCTGCAATAGATCAATTAATTGAATACTTTATAATACGAATTGCAAAAAAGAGAGAACTTACTTGTTTATTGGATGTCTCACCACCAGTAAATGCATGCTTTAACGTTCTTATTGATTTATTGGTCACAGCAGCCCGCATTTGCTCCATCTCACTCATGATATCCACCAACGCACCCTTGGTATATTTTAACTATACATACAGTATACACAACAGAAATTAGTGCTTTATTAACAAATAAAAAAATTACACATTATTTTCCAACCTGCAACAATTCAATATCTCTCTCATAACGTCTTCTGTAAACTGAGTCCCAGAAAGCACTAACTGCCGCAGAAGATTTCTCAGTCTTATCACATAAAAAGAGGGTGTTGTTATTTTCTGGATACGGTATTAATATAACAGATTGAAAAATGACATGGGACATAGCCAGCCAGCTGAGGGTTCGTCACTCTTCAACTGAGGCTGTCAGAAGGGTTCTCAAAGTTTATCAACGTGTTACGTAATAATGTACACGTTCATAGCCCTTGATCTACCCCTCTTCAGTCATAATTATAATTAAAGCAGACCTCGAAATGTTTAAGAGTAGATTCGGCTTTGGTAGACCACTCTTCGGATTTGTCGTTGAGCATATTTTCAAGAACTTTTGCGTATGCTCTGTGCTCTTTTGATCTGTCATCAAAATCTAACGAGTTTTCTCGATATTTCAAGTAGTCGATCAGCGACCACGAGCTGTTTTCCTGAAAGTACAATTTCGCGCTCTGCATACTGACTGAAGAACAAACGCGGTTCAGCTTATTAACTGTAGGGAAAACAAACGTTGTTTAGACGGAAAACGCAAAAATTGTTAACAGATTTGACGACAGGAGAAGATCAATTACTTGAAAAGGGGAAAGGCTAAAGCGGAGCAGAACGTGATCCTGTATTTGCAGTTTTATTGACTGCCATACAAATTTGACCAATGGAATTGCGAGGAATCTGCTCCGCTTTAGACATGCCCTTGAAAAGGCAGGGCGCGTAAAATTTTAACTATCTGAGCACATGACTTGTACTGATTTTGTCAGTGATCGTCATAATCGAGCAGTCCTAATAATAATAATAATAATAATAATAATAATAATAATATGTACAAATTTACTATTACAAGATTTCTTTAACTTTGGAAATTATAAAAGTTTACTAATAGTATGCACTAGTTACTTGCTATTGCTGACTGTTAGATTATTTCAGCTTGTCAAGTAAAACATGTCATAAACGTATCATTATACAAAAAGATTCATAACTAAACTGCAAACAATGCTCACTATTACTTGAACGTATTGAGTGTCTTCAAGAAGCATAATAATAATACTCTACATTTTTGAATACATTATAGTGAGGTTATGATACTAATACAAGATCAGCCTTTACTTTGTAGATATTGCACCACATTCGAGAACCTGTTTCAGTTCTTAATCTGCCCAAACTCAGATATGACATAGTAATAGATAAAAGGTTATATTAATTAATATTAAAAAAACTGATTGGTCTGTATACTATGTGGCTCCAAATATTTGTGGTAAAAAAATTGAGCTAACACAACATATTAATATTAATATATACATATGTATATGTACTAGTACTGAGTATGGGATAAAAAAATTTATTATAGGACTTGTCTTAACTACAGTATATACCAATACTTATGTAGAACTTTTCCTATTCATTCATCTATTAGAAAATTACCTTAACTCTTCAATATTTTGAGGCATTCTTATTTAACCATAATTTTTATGATCACCCACAAATTTTAGATCCGGGCTATTTAGATTACTTTTTCGCAAAAAATTTGTAATCAGCCTACATTAACTTGATTAGTAAATTGCTTCTATTACTGTTATGGGTCAAACTACTAATTGTAATGAAGGGAAACTCAATAACAGAAACGCAGCATCAGAATACGGGGAAGTTTGTGAAGATGTACAGATAATAATAATGATGTAGAATTACTTGTTACTCAATATCGTTATTCTTCTATTGGAATTCCATTGTACAAGTCCTCCTAAGCATCTATTATAACGGTGTACAACCCGTATGCAATGCACGATCCGCGTCGAAAGCCGTAATGATAGGAGGAGTACAAAGCTTTAATTCCCAGTTGCGTTATTGGTATTTATTATTCCACGTTTGTCGATCATTCATAGTATTCATTGTAACATAGCAATAGACAACAGAAAAGAATACGAGTACGGGAGGCAAAAACGTGAGTTGGTTCAGTCGCAGTCTAATATCAATGTTTCCTCCCCCTCAAAAAACCAATGTCCGTCCTGGGATCTATCGCCTTGAGAAATCTGATTCGTCGCATAGTTTAATTTCGTCTGATATTTTTTTCGCGGAATCGACTACTGAAGTGACAGGGAAAGTTAGACATGCCGAAGATGAATACTGTACATCTGTTACTTTAAAGTTTATTATTAAGGAAATCTTTGATTGAACACAAAAAGATGTCGAGCCAAAGTTAAAGATGCCATCTCTTTTTTTTCCATTTACGCACTGTCTCCCGTTATCGAGAAGAAAGGGTATTCTATACGCATGTGCTAGAGTATACCTAATTTACGCTAAATAATCATCATTAAAACAATACAACCCCGAGACAAGAGCGTGATTTTTGTAAACTTACGTATATGCGTAAGACAACGAATGGATATGTATTGAGCATAGAAACACAAAAGGAATTAAAAACGGGGAAATTTGAAGAATAAAATCAACCCTGGATCGTAATAAGGTAATTTCGTAAACACATAGTAATAAACATTGTCATGTCTTCAAAAAAGCGTCACTTTGTTGACAAAGTCTTTTTGTCCGCAAGACCAGATTCATCGAAACAACAAGATGTATTTTGACATGATGGCTATTTTATCCCAGCAACGGTAACAGAAAAATATCGAAGACGGATAGAAGATGCCGCTACAAAGAAAGAGCGCCTTCTTTCACTCGGTGAAACGATGATCCTGCCGTGATACATTTTCATGCAGTTATTGTAACTACCTAATAACCTTAGTATGTTACATCAGACCAAAAGCGGTAGTCGATCGTCAAAGATTATGCATGGGAACATGAACAATTACTAGTCATGGGACATGTTACATCCGATGTTGTACTTAGTAAATTTTTCTTGTGTAACGTTTCGTGCCATAACTTCGAG